ATTCAACACTTAAAAATGTTAAAAATAGTAACACCTGGTGCCCATTTTGTCGCTTACATAAACGTGAAAAATTATGTTGTGAAATTGTATCTAAATACCTTGAGCCTCTGTCGGAAAATCGCTAGCCAGGTTTCTTGAAAACATCAAAATATCCAACAGGTTTAGAACTCGATATTCCTTACTATTATTATGGTTTTGCTATTGAAGTACAAGGAGAACAACACGAAAAATATAACGAATTCTTCCATAAAGGAGATCCCAATAATTTTATTAGACAACAAGAACGGGATCAACTCAAGAAAGAATTATGCGAAGAAAATTGGATAGTTCTACGAGAAGTTTGGTATTATGAAGACCCATTCGAGAAAATTCCAACTATCCTTCGAGAACTGGGTCTTATTCCTAAACTGTAATTATTCAATATCTGTATTTGGTAGATAACCTTTTTTGATCAATGTGGCGCGAATATATAGAAGCAAATCACAATCATAAGGTATAACGATCAATGTAATACCTTCTCGCTTGCATATATACCACTTTTTTTGATCGCGCTTCCTTTGATTATCTAGATCATCTTGATTTTTGTGATATAAACTATTGCAATGATAGTGTTGGACCCCATTATATTCCCATGCCAATTTTAGCTCTTCATTGTATCCATCGAGTCGTAATTTTTCCAAAAATGGGGCCGAAGATAGTGGAAATTTCTTATCTAATAAATCTTCGAATATATATCTTACACTTCTCTCAGTTGTGTGAGAACAAAGTGGACACCATTCAAATTTCGTAGCTATTAATGGATATGGATATTCCCACTGATGCTTTCCATTTTCACAGAACCAGAGATATATATCGAAATCATTTATTTGGCCAATTTTACCAAGATATTTTCCATCACACTTCTCAGCATATGCAACAGCTTTAGCTATTTTATTAATAATACGAACAAAATTAACAGATCTGGAACGAATGTTTTCCTCCAATATACTCTGAGGCGGATACTGAAGTTTTTCTAGATCAATTAGCATTAATTCTTCATATACAAACCCACGTGTTGGTGCAAATTCTCTATCTAAATAATATAAAACTGGTTCGTTTTTCGTTACCACGATTTTGCAGATTTCATGTAATGAAGGACTCCATACTGGATCTGTGGCTCTTTTCTGATTCTCCATACCTCCCTCCCACTCTGCATTAGCAAGCAAATAACGAACTGTATCACCCTTCTTTAACTTATTCTCTTCATTTTTTCCAACTGGACGCTTATATTTTGTAGATGGTCTAGATTCTACCTTTTCTAACTTGATGACTTCCTTGGGAGCTAAACCCCACTTTGAAGAACCTGAAGCTCGGATGAGACGTGTTGGATAATTGTTTAGGTAATCGATAACTTTTGGCAAATGCTTGACCTATGCTCTTATTAGTTTAGGGTTCGAAGTTATACTTTCGACAGCATATTGGACTTTATATAGTATTTCTGCTAGAGTTTTATTGAAACGTTCCACAAGAGCTAGACCTCGATGGCTATATGCACTAATTACTCGAATTGTGACATTATGCGCTTCCATTATTTTTGAAGTTTCGCCCATAAATTCTTTACCACCATCAATGGTTAGCAATTTAGGCCAGGTTAATGGAATTGATGAACTATTATAAATTTTCTTGAACGCTTTAGTAA